TACAAAAAAACAGCTGAACATGAGAGGTTTTTGGACCAATTTTGTGTTCTCCATTCTTTAAGCACCGGTTTGAGCACCGTTTAAGCACCGGCACAGTTTCAAAAGTACCGGTTTGGCAGTGGTATGGGATAAAACTTAAACAATACCCATCCCTTGTTTTGAACAAATAATGCAGAGGGGGGTTACTGTGGAGTAGGTTCAACAAAGCCAGATTTTCTTGGTTATCCAAAAACCTAATCAGGGTTAACCTGCTTCAGGCTCTGTGTTTGATTACATGTGCATTTGCAAGGGGGAAAAAACACTAAATATACATAAAAAACTAAAAGCGTCTGACTAAACTTGGATCATGACTTAATTACACCTAAAAGCTAATCGCGTTTTTGCTTTTCTTTGGTACTTTTGGGTCAATATCTTGTTGCACCACTCAGGCTGTCCTTAACATTATCCTGCTCTGATATTGTTTCTTAAAATTATGAATTTATTGTTCTCTTACTGATTTTCCAACATGGTCCCAAATCATAATGCTACTTCCACCATGCTTCAGTTTGGCTCAGTTCCTGGCATTGGTGTGCCTTTTTCTCCAAACGAGTGTTGTTTACACAGAACATTGTGGTGTTGTGGAACATCCAGGTGGTGCTTCACAAACTTGAGATCTGATTTAAGTAATGGATTCATTTTTTAAGCAGTCATTTCTTCCGTTTCCTTCTGTGTCCAAGTTATAGAAATGTCTGCAGGTGCAGGTTTTGTTGTTACTTTATTTCATCTTCACCTTTTCAAGGATTGTATATCGTGTACATCATGCCTTCTCCTAAAGATTGCAGCTGTCCTGTATTTACTTCAATTATAGACAATTTACATTAACATTTGAGTTTTTAGAAATGCTTTTTGGGTCTTTTCCAGCTTCATACATCTTTAAATTGCTTCTTGTATGGTCCTGTGAAGGTTTTTGTGATCGAGACATGGTTCACACCAATCAGTTTCTAATGAGTGGAGCTGTAACCGGGATTTGTGTCTTTATTTATAGGCAGGGCACATCTACAGCCCACTCTACTCGTCTCCTAATTGGAACAACTGACACCAAGTTGCTTTTTGAAAAGTACCGTTTGAATCCACACTGTTTCACGGGAACTTGCGCTTCTTCCATTTGGCCTGATGGTGGTGTTTATTGACGTCATAGAATTTTCTGCATCCTAATATAACTGCCTAAAAAAAATAAATTTAAGATGCTGATGCTTCTTGTTAAAAATGTGTTTCTAGTATCTGACTGCTGCTGTCATATACACATTTCTGCGTCAAAGCCAGTGCACATCTTAATGAGAACTGGCAAGCTGAAGCCAAATGTAGGTCTAAGCTGTTGTTTATCTGTTTAAAGTCTGAGAGGGCTTTTCCTCTAATTTATTAGAGAAGAGTCTTGTTGCTGTTTCTTGTTTTATTGTTGTCCTAAACTCCTGATTCAGGATAAAAGCTCTGTGAAGCTGCTATGGTTTAAGGCCACGTCCTTGGCCAGTGTTTATAGCAGAATGAAATATTCAGCATCCAGCATAGCTCTGTGACCTGCTGCAGCGCTACAGAAGAATTCATAAAGACCAGCTGTAAACTCGACCTGCTCTCGCCTTCTTGTTCATGTAGCCCCCCCTCACCCATTGTACTCTTGAATGTTCTTTTTAGGCTCTATTTTCTTCCCACTAACTGTCTGTGTTGTTGAACCCTCCCTCCTTAATCTGTTGCACTATGAATCAGTCATTGTTCTGTGGAGCTCTTTGGATTATTCATTGACCATATTTGGTCAAAGCTTGTCAGTAAGCTGCATTTGATAGCAGCTGGTTTGCTTTCTCGCTCTCTCTGGTCAAAATACAGGATTCATCAAGTCATTGCAATATCAGTAAACACCTTATTGTTTTTCATTTTAAAGTCTTCCAAATGAATGTCCTATAGAGCCACTCACCCACTGACACAAAAGAGATTTTTCACTCCCTCACGGCGATGCAAAGAGCCGTGAAAGCCTTGGCATTATAATAACAATTATATTTGCTCTTATCACATTTTTTACGGTTCCTTTTCCACCGAGCTTGCACTGGGAGTTTAATAACTGT